GGCCTGTCGAATGTATTAACTCTCAACTGTTATTTTCAAATTTTGTATCAGAATTATTCAAACAATTTTCGTTTGTATCAGAATTCTTCATTTGAAATATATGCGAAATGTAGACGAAAGTGAAATTTAATAGATTGTTCTGGTACTTGCATATCTCCTAGAAATGTAAAAATGAAGCATCCATCTTTGAGAACACTTCATTTATTCTGCGCTAAGCATGACAATAAACGTGAAACGAAGGTTAGTAAGCAATGGACTGGACACATCTACAACCAATATCACTTATAAGTGTCTCGCTGGTTGCATGCAGTTGCATGTATTATGTTCTCAATTCTCATTCCTTTCGAATCATTTTGTAGGTTAGCAGGAATAATAGCAGGTATGCAAATGTAATTCTTGGAGTTCGAAGAAAAAGCATAGTATGTAACGCCCAGTCAGCATATCTCTACATCATCAACCTTGAAAAATGTCGAATAACATTCTACCAAAACAGGTTTTCCATTGAACGGCGAAGCTTTGGAATTCCTTGCCAATGGAAGAATTCCCACGAACAAAAAACCTCCAGAAGTTCAAAAAATAAATATCCAACACCTACCTCTTCTCCCTATTCTTACTAGGTACACACGATCTACCACGAATATTATAGGAATTTACTTTCGTGCTCTCCAAGAGATAAAAAAAACTAACCTCATGCATCCTCCTATTTATAACTGGAGCACTAAATAGCAAACTTTCAGAGAAATTCATTCGAAATTCGTTATGGAACAGGAATTTGAAGAGGAAGCCAGGAAGCTCAAACTTTGCAGCTTCCCCTCTTTAGAATTCCCCGAAATCAAGGATGATTTCCATCCGGAATAACTCGAATTATCATAACATTTTTCAAATCCATTTACATAAAAATATCCAGGCATCGACAACAAGTTTTGCAGAAGAGGTTGGTGATGGTGATGGTAACATTTCGCTTTGAAAAGAACACGGTTGTTTTTTAATCTTATTCTTATTTGAGAAATATAGATTATTCATGTCAGTTTTTCCAGACTAATGACTGATAAAGAATTTTTGAGTTAATAAGGAAATTTATCCAATTAAAAACAAAGTTCGTGTGTTTTTTTCAGACGAAATATTCCTAAAACGGCTCATTTTGCTAATATACGCGTGAACCATACCCATCAAAAAACTTCACACGACAGAAATTGGAGTGACATCAGGCGCAAATAGCTACTAGATCAAAGGAGCAGGCATTTCATCAACGATAAGAAAGGTGCATCCTTTTTTATCAATGTCGAAATGACTATCACGTCGTCGTCAAATAGTGTTTTCCGTGTAGGAGTTGATTGATCCCTGAAAAAGTATATTGAAGGTATACCTATCGAAGGTCCTTATCATCGATTCATATGCTATTTCATATCACATGAAAATAATTGCCCAGGTACCTAATTGAAAAACAGTTCTAGATATTTCCGATGGGGAAACATCGTTCCATTGTTCATTGTTATAGGCAACTTTTGTCTCATTCAACCAACTTCGTATCTTCATCTTTTTCGAGATGCTAATAGTGGCACGACATGAAGAATACGGTGTTTCTCGTTTATAATATTATGAAAAATTGTGGATTCCAATGATCATTTGAAAAATTGACAGATCTCTTCGACCCAAATAATAAAATCGAGTGTTATTCGTTAAGATCATTCAAAGAATACGTGAGTCACATTATATGGTCAAAGATTCTTTCAATATCTCCACTTGAATACGAAATTCTCAAAGAAATGTTGTTTTCTTTATCAAAAATATTATAAAGTACTCACAAAGACTATGAATGGAATGTGCCAAAAGACATTTATAATATTGTATATGAGTCATTCATTCTTATTGTTTACTGGCGTCTAGCGACACTGTCTGCAGTGCAATATTCTCTCTGCACTGCAATTACCGCTTCAATTTTTCGATGATTGCAATGCTTTTATGAGACCTTTTTTGAATATGAGGCAAATATCTACTGGAATAAGTCCATCAGGGTCGTTTTTACGAGGTAATTGTAGCTCAATAGTAAAAAAAGCTTCATAAAATTTCATTTTCAACCAGAATGACGGAATCCAGCATGGAATCAGTGTTGACAATTCGAAAAAAATCTCGTAAACAACTCACCATTTCTCGAAATCAGTAACATATAAGCATAAACGAACTTTCAAAACATGTTCCTCGATCACCTCAATAACTCTCTGGACGCATCTCCGAAATCACAGAACCAAGAAAATCGCGAATCAGCTCGAAGATTATCTAGTCTTCCATGTTATGAAATTGTATGGCTATCATAATGTATTGACCTCTGAGGACAAAACGGTTTGTGACAAAAAGTTTCATTGTAATTATTTCTCAACCGACACAACAGGCTCGTTTCCTTTCGAAAACACAAAAAGTATCTTCATACCATTGTTCACTCTCCATGAGAAATCACGTGAACAACTCACCGGTTTCCGAAAATAGCAACAAAAAAGCGGGAACGATCCCTGGACGCATCTCCAAATCACCAGAAAGTTTATATTGCACCACTTTCAGCTCGAAGATTATGTCATCTTCCATGTTGTGGAATAATGACATTTTTTTGAATGATCAATTGATTTCTGAGGAAGAAGTGGTTTATGACAAGAAGTTTCATTGAAATGACTAAAATTAAGCTCTTTTTCTCCAGAAAACACCTTCTCTGTATGTGATTCATAGTAGTGATCCTGGCAGCACCCCGATGCCCTAGTATTTGTTCGGTTTCTACTATAAGCTGTAGGTCCCGCTCTTCCTAAATTCGCACGAGTTTTGACTTCTGGGGAGTTGGTTCCCAACTTTGGAGCAGCGATATCCAAATTTCACGAAATTTTGTCTTTCAATTCATAAAAAATCTAGTGTACAACTTACAATTGTTAAAAAACAGCAACAAAGGAGCGTTAACGATGCCCGGACGCATCTTCAAAACGCTAGAAAGATATAATTGCGCCATTTACAGCTCGACAATTATGTCTTCGTCGATGTTGTGACGTGATATGGCTATCATTAGTTATTCGAATTATTTATTGACCTCTGAGGAAAAAACAGTTTGTGACAAGAAATTCCATTGAAATAGTATCTAACGAGATAGCAGCACTCAGTTTCCTGAAATCAGTGTTCACAATTCAGGAAAAATCTCGTGAACGACTCACCATTTCTCAGAAACAGCAACAAAAAAGCATAAACGAACTCCCACAGCATGTTCCTCGATCACCTCAATTACTCCCTGGACACATCTCCGAAACGCCAGGAAATTTCAATTGCGTCACAAAAATTGCGAATCAGCTCGAAGATTATGTAGTCTTTCATGTTTTGAAATGATGAGGCTATCATTACTCATTTGAATAATGTATTGACCTCTGAGGATTAAACGGTTGGTGACAAGAAGTTTCATTGAAATTAGTTTTTCACCGAGACAACGGTCTCGTTTCCTTTCGAAAACACAGTTTTTTTTTCAAATCATTGTTCACGAACCATGAAAAGTCTTGTGAACAGCTCACTTGTTTTCGAAAACAGCAACAAAAAAACGTAAACGATCTCTGGACGCATCTCCAGAAGATTATGACTTCTTTCATGATATGAAATGATGTGGATGTCATATAATCTTCTCGAATAATGTATTGGTTTCTAAGGAACAAACGGTTTGTGACCAAGACAACGGGCTCGTTTCCTCAAGAAATTACCTTCTTTCTGAAATCAGTGTTCACAATTCAGGAATAATTTCGTGAACAACTCATCATTTCTCAGAAACAGCAACAAAAAAGCATAAACGAACCCCCACAGCATGTTCCTCGATCACCTCAATTACTCCCCAGACGCATCTCCGAAACGCCAGAAAGTTTCAATTGCGCCACAAAAATCGCGAATCAGCTCGAAGATTATGTAGTCTTTCATGTTTTGAAATGATGTGGCTATCATTACTTATTTGAAAAATGTATTGACCTCTGAGGATTAAACGGTTGGTGACAAGAAGTTTCATTGAAATTAGTTTTTAACCGAGACAACGGTCTCGTTTCCTTTCGAAAACACAGTTTTTTTTTCAAATCATTGTTTACGAACCATAAAAAGTCTTGTGAACAGCTCTCTTGTTTTCGAACCGAACAAAAAACCGTAAACGATCCCTGGACGCATCTCCAGAAGATTATGTCTTCTTTCATGATATGAAATGATGTGGATGTCATATAATCTTCTCGAATAATGTATTGGTTTCTAAGGAACAAACGGTTTGTGACAAGAAGTTTTATTGAAATGAATTTATAACCAAGACAACGAGCTCGTGTCCTTAAGAAATTACCTTCTTTCTGAAATCAGTGTTCACAATTCAGGAATCATTTCGTGAACAACTCACCATTTTTCAGAAACAGCAACAAAAAAGCATAAACGAACTCCCAAAGCATGTTCCTCGATCACCTCAATTACTCCCTGGACACATCTACGAAACGCCAGAAAGTTTCAATTGCGCCACAAAAATCGCGAATCAGCTCGAAGATTATGTGTAGTCTTTCATGTTTTGAAATGATGTGGCTATCATTACTCATTTGAATAATAAATTGACCTCTGAGGATTAAACGGTTGGTGACAAGAAGTTTCATTGAAATTAGTTTTCAACCAAGACAACGGACTTGTTTCCATTCGGAAACACAATTTTTTCTTCAAATCATTGTTTACGAACTATAAAAAGTCTTGTGAACAGCTCACTTGTTTTCGAAAACAGCAACAAAAAACCGTAAACGATCTCTGGACGCATCTCCAGAAGATTATGTCTTCTTTCATGATATGAAATGATGTGGATGTCATATAATCATCTCGAATAATGTATTGGTTTCTAAGGAACAAACGGTTTGTGACAAGAAGTTTTATTGAAATGAATTTATAACCAAGACAACAAGCTCGTTTCCTTAAGAAATTACCTTCTTTCTGAAATCAGTGTTCACAATTCAGGAATAATTTCGTGAACAACTCACCATTTCTCAGAAACAGCAACAAAAAAGCATAAACGAACCCCCACAGCATGTTCCTCGATCACCTCAATTACTCCCCAGACGCATCTCCGAAACGCCAGAAAGTTTCAATTGCGCCACTTTTCGCGATTCTAACCTCACAAAACGCGAACGGGCTCGACGATAGCGTAGTCGCTGGCGTCTATCGAGGGCGTCGGACCGAGACGTACCGTCGCGACGCTAGAAACAGACGCGCTGGACCGTGAGCGGACTCGAGCGAGGATAAGTTTGGCGCATGTGCAGCAAGGGCATCGTTGCCAAGCTGTCCATCCCAAACCGACGTCCATATCACAAAATAACATGGATAATTCATTTCACTTGATTTCTTGGGATATCTGCTTCTCGTTTCTATAAAATAAGAACATGAGTATCATTCCAATATATGTGTAATAGGACAAATCAGAGGATTTGTTTGTTATGTTCTGGTTTCCACGAAAAGGGATATCCTGTGATGTTCAGAGAACATCGTGAGAACCAAGAGAAATATGCCTCGTGGAACACCTCCCTTGGCAATGTGTTCCCGAGTCTCGCTTTACGTTGGATGAACGGGTCTTTGGAAAGCGATGTTCTGGAGGTCTCCAAAGTGACAACGAAAAAGTGCGAAGCCTCAACTCGACGGGTTAATCTCGCGGGGACTGCCAAGGAAGGAACAATTGTTGATATTTCGGAAGAGCATCGCCCATGGAAATATCTGTAGATAGCCAGATCAGCAACTTCCCAACGGTGTTCCTGAGAAATGAGTGAGTTTGTGAGCGAGGCATCACCCACGAGACGAATTGCCCTTTTTGAACAGAATCTAACAATTTCAGGGTATGTTTGGGTGCTGCACTACAAATATAGAAACAGGACAGGTCGGGTCTATGCCTTATAGATCATAAGCAGCTGACTGGAAGTGGAATAGCTCCTGGACCGGAACAGAAGACCAAGTTTTTGGAATGCACTTTTAGCAATTGATCTCACGTGATTTTTCCAAGATGGCTTCAAAGGTATGGTTACTCCTGACAAGCTTATGTTGGGCACAGTGAGATCGGCTTTTCTAGAGAAAAGGCATGCTTGTGTTTTGTTTGCATTGAAATCTACCAAGTTATTGGATCCCCATTCGAGAATTGTTGCCAAGTCCATATTCATGTTGTTAACATTTCTCCCTCGTTCGTTTCTGATTTGCCTGGCTAGTATTGGAACCCTGGAAGAGAAGGCGGTATAGAGCGTTCTATCATCCACGAAGCTGTGTACTAGACATGAAGTTGCTTCCAACAAATTGTTGATATGGAGTAGAAATAGTGTTGGTGCTAGAATTGATCCTTGCAGAACACCAGCATTTATGATAAGAGAGTCAGATGAAACTCCATCGACCACTATATGGAGAGACCTGTTCGAGAGGAAACTAGCTAGCAGAGAACATAGATTGGGAGGCAAGTCATGAGATGGAAGCTTGGCGAGGAGTCCGTGGTGCCAGACTCGATCGAATGCCTTGGAGATATCAAGTGCCACGCCTAAGGTTTCACCATATTTTCCAATAGATTGCTACCATATATGTGAGACGTGAGCGAGCAGGTCACCAGTTGATCTCTGATGACGGAAGCCATATTGCCTATCGTTGATGATACCTGAATGTTTCAGGTATTTCATGAGCTCGATATTGATAGCTTTCTTCATGATCTTGAAATAATAGATAGCAATGCGATCGGTCTGTAGTTGAAAGGTAGGGTCCTTTTGCCTTAATTAAGGAACTGGTTGTACTCTTGCAATCTTCCAGTTGGACGGGAATATCCCCAATTTGTGAGAGTAGTTGCAGAGAACAGGTGTTAGTTCAGGAGCACATTTCATGAGAACAATCGCTGGGATTCCGTCGGAGCCACAAGCTTTGTTGGTGTTGAGACCGAATGAAATCTTTCTTATAGTACGTTGGCGAAAGGTGATCTCGGGCATATGACTGTCAATTGGCGTAATGTTTGGAGCTTGTTTTCCCGATGAATCCAGAGTGGAATTTCCAGCGAATAAATGCGCAAGAATGTTGGCTTTCTCATGAGCAGTTGTGGCTAGTGTTTCATCTTCCTTGGTTAGAGGAGGAAACGAGCTGGAAGTGAAGTTTTTATATATACAGGGTGTTTGGTTCACCGACGTATATCTGAAAGGGGGTGATAGTTGATAACATTCCGAACATATTTTACCATATATATACTATTATACAAAGTGTTTCAAATTTCGAGTTATCATCGTTCTTTCAAACATTTTATCTAATTAAATCACTTTTTTCTTAGAAAGTTGAATACGCATTGCATTGATATTGAACACGAAATGGGATCTAATGTGATAAAAACATTTTTGGCTCGTTAAAATTCAAAAAACGATTCTTGTTACATCCAATATTGAATTTATAAGCTATGATTTCTCGAAGAGTGTAACACTTTGTATGATAGTATATATGGTCAAATTTGTTCAAAATCACATAACCTACCACCTCCTTCCGTATACTGGTACTGGTACTGGTACTGGTGGGGGACGTTTCCACGTCAGCAACTAGTCCCCAATGGGACCTTTTTGCCAACCCCAAGTGTTTTCAATGACTGATGTGGTTCGCTCAAGAGAGCTGGCTAACATCCTTTTCAGGCACCGCCCATCAGCTCTCTTTTCAGAGTTTTTCAGCTGTGTTTTGTAGGCTAGTAATGTACTCACTACCATATGCGCGGTGGCAGGCCTGCTAACTATCATCGTTAACCCCCGAGACCGAGGTCTACTTAAACAGCTGGCCCGCTCTCACGCTCAGCTGGTAGTTTTTCCACACCCACCTACATACACCGTCCTACTTCTTCTCTGATGCTCACAACCACATCATCATATCTTTCTGCGTGTTCTGTGTAGGCTTTGTTACTAACTCCATGCGCCACTTTAGGAGCAGCACTGTTAATTGGAACGCAACAGCGAATCGTGCAGGACTATCCCCAGCCGATGCTCCGAAACTTTACAATATTTAATTCGTAAATAAAATATTGAAAAAAGTTCCTTGCCCGTGCTGGAAATCGAACCCACGACCATGCGGTCGTATATAAGTCGGTGAACCAAACATCCTGTATATTGAAAAGTATCGAATTTTGGACGTTTCGCGAACGTGCACACGTTTCCACAGAAAAGTCCCTTGTATTTGACAACACTGCTCACGCGATAGTATACCGACGCTCCAGGGAAGATTTATTCGTTTATTTTTTTTAATTTCATTAGGGAATGTAAATATTGCAACACCCTAAAGGGTGTCGCATGCACAGCGAAACGAGTTCACCAACTGTTAGTGAAATTTGAATGTAATGAAACCAAAACAAGTTATACTATAAACGGAGAAGAACAAATTGATACTTGTTATAGAGAGAGAGTACCAGGAATCGTTCTTCTACTACTCAATTTGAACTGTTTAGGAAATTTTAGATCAGTAACAGGTAATGAACAGATAGGTTTTCATCATCATCGAATAATTGGACACTTCCAAATAACACGGGGAAAAATTTGTTCGCAGTTATTGGAATAGGAAGCCAGCAAATGTTCACTCACAGAAAAACATGATCCTTCTAGAATTCTTCTTATCTGTCATCTGGTTGCCCCCTTTCGAGCAACTCTTAGGTCCGTAATTATAGTCCTCCTTAAGGTGACCTCGTTCCTTATTAAGACATTCTTAAGGACCAGTTTCCAATCAAGGAAATTTCAATTCCTAGGAAGGTGAAGAGGTACCTTGAGCATGTAGATAATTGGATATATCATGGATATGAATTTCACTGGTTTGGATAGTGTTTGATCTGGAACGCTTCTCTGGATTCCATGAATGGAATGATGGAAGTGAATGTAGCTATCAAACGAATATTCAAGTCTTGAAATTTGTACAGAGAAACTGATATCGAATTCCAGTAGAAACTGTTTAATATGTAGGTATTCAAGTATATTGTTCGGAAGTGAATATTTTTTTATTTCGAATAAAAGATAAAACAAATAATTGAAACTCGGCATATTCGCAATATATACATAGATATCATCTTGATAATTTGTCAATGAAATTGAAACAACATCTTTTTTGATTTCCACACTTCACAGTGAAAAATTGAGTTCCTTCGTCAAATTTGACATTTTCATTTTTTGACAAACACGTGACATGGAACATCAAGTTTCGTCACAGAACACTGATATTATGCCAAGTGTGAGGCCTCCTTTTGGAGGATTACTCAAGTGTGATCTCTAAAACAAATTTTATGTTGAGCGCTGATGCGTCCTCAAGGAAAATAGGTGTATATAGTAACTATTGGTAAGCACAAAAATTGAGAAAAAGTAACAAAAAATATGTACTGTAGATACGTGCATAGATAACGACTGCAACGAATGCCTTATTTTTTTGAAATGGGTACATCAAATGTGCGAAGCCGGGACGGACAGAGAGTAACAAAATAATTATGAAATCGTGAATAAACTGTTTTTTTCAAGAAACTCTGGAATTTTTCAAATTTCAAGAAGGCATTTTGTGAAGCATGGAATTGTACAACTTTGCCAGGACTCAACCGACCCTGTATCAATTACGGTTCACGAGATTCCAATGATGAGGTTCGAATTCCAGCCTTCCTGTACATACTAAGTCTTCCAACTAACTATCGTCCGTTTTATGAACTTCTGCGAATCATAATCATTCATGCATTAAGTTACAGAGAACAGTGGTATTCGCCCTGTCTATGGAGCCGATAATTGGAATTCGCAGGTGTTGTAAGTTAGCAAATACAGAGAGATATGTAGTCTTGTAGTGTTGTCCGATTCTGAAGGGTAACGTCCCTTGAGCTATAGTTTTGTCATGTTCGAAACATTGATCTAGATTTCTGGATAGCACGTATATTTAATTGCTTCTGGAGGTTCTCTATAAACTTCTACTGGTCAGTCATAAGCAGGGATGCCAATTTGTGAGTTATAACTCACATTTCGAATTTAGATTCAGATCCGACCAGTCCTGGAATACTGTTCCCATATGTCTCGTAGGTGATGCCTCGCTCACAAACTCACTCACTTCTCTGGAGCACCGTAGAGAAGTTGGTGATCTGGCTCTATTTTCAAGATACTTTTATGGACGATGCTCTTCTTAAATATCAACAATTGTTCCTTCCTTGGCAGTCCCCGCGACATGAACCCGTCGAGTTGAGGCTTCGCACCCCTTC